GAAGGGTTCTCTGCCCACACTAGGAGAGTGTGAAACGACGGAAGGGTTCTCTGCCCACACTAGGAGAGTGTGAAAGGATGGAAGAGTTCTCTGCCCACACTAGGAGAGTGTGAAAGGACGGACGGGTTCTCTGCCCACACTAGGATAGTGTGAAAGGACGGACGGTTCTCTGCCAACACTAGGAATTGTGTAAAAGGACGGACGGTTCTCTCCCGCACCGAGGAGTGGTGAAAAGAGTGTGTTGTAAAGGCTTCTCCGCCTTGCTGTGGGTGCAAAAGGAGAGTCACTATTGGTATTGGTGCAATACTCAGAGGGTGTCTCTGGGGAGTGGATGTAGGTCTGCTTATAGACCGAACCACTATAAATCTGGTGTCATTTACTTTACTGTTTTTACGTTTCCGCACTTTATATTTAAGTTTTAAAAAACTCTGTGGTTGAAAAACATTTTTTTACAAAATTTAAAAGAAATTTTATTTCGGTTCAATAATTTTCTAAAGGGGACTTAAATTTTTTAAACTACCAATTCACCCCCTCTTGGTAGCCTTGGGACATTTACTTAGGCTTAACAACCTAATTACTAGACTCAACACTCATGAGGTTAGTATACAATTGAAAATATTGTGTTACTTTGTATTTGTTTGGATTTCCTTAGGGTCTTTGTAAATGTGTTTTTTTTTAGGTTTTAATTTGGAAGATGATGCTTCCATTGATGTATAAATAGACTTGTGGTTGGATCTTTTATATGAACTTCTAAAAACAAAAGTTGTATTAAATATTTTTGAAAGGATAAATGTTATGTGATGCATGTTACACTCAATGGTAATATTTAGGGTGGGGTGTTACACATGATTATTGTTTTGGTAAAACATTATCATTATATTGGACAAATTTAACATTGTTTTAATATTAGTAGTTTTAGAATGTTCAAGAATTTATAATTTTTATATCTTCTATGTAAAGGTTTCAGTAAAATTTGATGTTCACAGACGATACATTTTCCACTCTTTGTTAAACTAGCGATTTTGATGGGAGAAATTTATTACACCCCTCGTTCTTTTGGATGGGAGAATTTAATTACATGTTACAATGCAATGTTGCAGCTAAATAATACATGGTAGTGTCAGGAATATACTAAAAAGTTAATTAGAATAATTAAAAAGAAAAACTCCATCATACTACATAAAATCTCTTACTTTCTACATGTTTTCTCAATTTAATTTTCAAAATCTATTAATTTCTATTTGTAAAAAAAAAAACCAATTGACCTCATACATAAAATTTGTCACCAAGACCCGCATATTCTGTAACATGAAACAAACAATAGCCCAGCATCAATTTTCGCATGTCAGCTCAGCTCTTACCTACTCCATAGCACCTCTCGGGCCATCACTCTTCACATTTGCAGGTGCAATAACCGCAAGAACAACAGTGCCACCAAGAAGCATCAGCAAGATCCCAAGGGAATTCACCAGAAAAGCCTCAGATGAATACCGAGAAATCACGTTATTCATCTGGAGAAATGTGGCCTTCTCAAGAATACCAGTACAAACTGTAGCAAGAGCAAGTGCATAGACATACAGGCCAAAGAAGACATGCCATGGAAGCAAGAAACTTCTCTTGTTTTTCGAGCCACCTGGATACCAGAAGGTGGCAAATCCAGCTATCCACTGAAGAAAAAAACAAGCAAAAAGACACTTGAATAATGACAAAAGAACAAGAAACAAAAGAGCTAGGACGACAGTTGAGGAATGTGCCTGAATTCCAAATAAGAAGAAACATGCCAGTCCCAACCAGGAATGAAGGCTGTAGAAGTTGTCGATTCCTTTATCATTGTGAAACTTAAGAGCAGCCCATATACCAATCAAGCCCAAAAGCAAGGCAAAAAATTGAATTGTAAGATGCACCGCCTTTTTGAAGTTCTTCGTGCCTGACACCGTCCGGTAAGCTAAAATGGCTGCAATCATGCAAAACCAAAAATCAAGCACAAGGGTTTACAACGTACCAGCATATATAACGGAAGTCCTCAAGTATAAATCTAATATGCATTAGGTTAGTATATCTAGTTTATCTGTTGTAACTTGTCACTAAAGTAGAGTATCTCTTTTGACAGGAAAACATCAAACCAGGTTTCCCACTTCGCCAAACGGTATTATAAGTGTATGGTCCTTTTGAGACGGCTTAAGCAACTTTAGAGAAGAAAGTTTAAAACAAAATATATAGAGAAATTCAAAAAACTACTGAACATGATAAATTAACTTGGATTAATTACTTCCTCATTAAATTGAAATAATACTTCTTTTAAGCCAGGCAAAGTTAGAAGCAGCCAAATATGCCTAAATCCTAAAGCTGATGATAGTCCAGCATATATAAGGTAAAAGCATCATTAGCCATCTCACCAGAGAGAGCCTTCTGTACAACTGGCGTTTCAACTTCAGGCTAACAAAGGGAGGAAGCAATCCAGATCAAGATCTAAGAAGAGATAGAGCTGAGCATGAACGCAACCTAAAAGCTTTTCCAATCATTGAGGTTATTTGGGATGCCTTTCCAATCTAGCCCTCTCCCTCTCCCTCACACTCACGCACACGTACCACCACACAAAATGGAAAAGGATGTAGTAGATCAACAACTATTATCAGGCCTTTGCTCAAAGATAAAATTCAAATAGGGAAGCAGCATTATACCTTCACCATTTAGGAGCACAAAACCAATCACCATTAATACAGGATGCACCTGAAACACTTATAGAAGTTAAAATAAACATAAAGGTGAGAAGCAATTTAAGAAATCTATTATGGCATGGACTAAAGAAAGTTGAAGAAAAAGAATTCAATTACAGGCATGATTATCGGAGATGACATAAAATTTGCTATACTTAAGCATATACAAACTTAATAAAATAAGATGATGCATCATAACTGCTAGGAAATATGTGAAACCTAATTCAAATATAAAGAGTGAAAATGAAGAAAATAAAACATAAAAGAAGATCAGTGCACAACAACACAAGAATTTTATATAGAATCACCTAATTAATGCCTAGCGGAGAAGTCTAACGGAAATTAATTATCTAGGGATAACCTAAGTCAATTATCAAAATGCACTGTCATATATTTCGAGCTACATACCTCATGTATTAAATCGCAAAACTCATATTTTCTATTTGGCATAACTTTTCCTAGCAATGAACCTTGAACAAAACCTATAATAGATGGTCAAGGGGGGGTTTCTGACACACCAAGTCATTTGTACTCAAATCTTGCACTTTTGACAATATAGTGAAATCCTATAGCCTCTCTCTATATTCTCTATTTTTCACATTTTCTGACTGCTTTTTTCTATGTGAACCTTACAAGTTTTATGAGTAAGATACTGATGTTGCCCACATATAACATTGGATCCAACAGGGGGTATCTTTATACTTTTTCTAAATAAGTAAATGCCTTGATACTTGGTCCATCAAGTTATTTTCTTTGTTGCCAACCAATTTTCTTACCCCTACTGTCATTAATAATAGTAGCAAGGACTGATAACAAATCTTTTTGGTTTAATCAAGGATTTTAGTCAAACTTTATTACAGCTGGATTCACTTGTTAGTTAGAGCCACTTTTGTTTTTTCAACTTTATCTTGTGCATTTCTCAGACCTCTTTTATTTTTCTTCTCCATCTAAAAAAGATCAACACTCACTTCTTTTTTTATCATAATGATTCGCACAAAAGCCTTGAGATTCCGATAGGAAACAATAAGAAAAAGCAGGAAATAATTACTGAAATCAGAATTTCAGCGGATTAACCAAGCAGATTTTTTGTTTTTTATGGATGAAAACAAGAAAAACACTCTTGATTGCTAGGAGATAAAAAGAAATAGTAAGATACAAACAATCCTCTATTCGAGAGGAGAATCAATCTCTTTAAAACTCTCTAGAAACCACTAAAGCCCAATACACCAAAGATAACTAAGAAATTAGCCACAAAAAAGATGTCCTAACTCTAATACAAACTCGTACTTAAAGCAAACATAAAATTAACATCAAATGACTAAATAACCCTCAAACAATGAACCCTAGATAGCGGATCCCACCCCAAGGGGGGCGGAATCAGTAGCCTGCGAACTAGCACGCTTACGCCTGCAGTACTGTAGGTTTGGGTCGGCTTGACTGGTCCAATCGTATCAATACCCCGCTCCCAAAGAACCACCTTGTCCTCAAGATGGAAAGAGGGGAATTGATATTTCACCCTTTTGTAGGGATCCCATGTAGCATCAGAATCAAGAAGGTCCTTCCACTTGATCAACACTAGGTGAATGGTGGTTGTTGGAGGCAACCTCAAACGGTACGCTACTGCTCCAATTTTCTCTAATATCTCATAAGGGTCGAAATATCTTGAAGCCATCTTCTCATTCCTCTTGAAGGTGACTGTCGTCTTCCTGTAAGGTCTTAGCTTTAAGAATACCCTTTCCCCAACCTCAAATCGGATGTCCTTCCTATTGCCCATCAACATGTTTCTTCATAATCTGTTGAGCCCTCAACAGATGCTTTTTCAATTCTTCCAACACCCTGTCCATCTCCTCCAAGTATGCCTCTACTGAAGAAACTGGTGTGTTACTCTGCCCAAAATGCACAAGGTGAGGTGTATTTCTCCCATACAACACCATGAATGGGGTCATTTGAGAAGCAAAATAATATGAGGTGTTGTACTCTACCCATGCTAACCACTTGGCCCAAAGCCAAGGGGTTTTTTTACACAAAGCATCTTAGATATGTCTCCGAGCTTCTATTTACCACCTCCGTCTGCCCATCGGTCTGTGGGTGGTAGGCGGTGCTCCTCTTCAGTACTTTCCCTTGCAATCTGAATAACTCTCTCCATAAATGGCTGAGGAACAGCTTATCCCTGTCGGAAACTATAGCCTCCGGTATCCCATAGAGTTTCATCACCTCCTTGACGAAAGTTGATGCCACTGTCACTGCCGTGTAGGGGTGTCGTAGGGGAATAAAATGAGCATACTTGCTTAGCCAGTCTATCACCACTAGAATCAAGGTGAAGCCTTCAAATCGAGCCAACCCTTCTATTAAATACATGAAAATCTCCTCCCACACCCGATCAATGTCCATGTACTTATTCCGTTAACAAACCTCATAATTGGCTACCAACATCTCCACATCCTTGTGCATCCCCTTCCAATACAACTCTGAGGCAAGTCTCATGTATGACCCCCAATAGCACTCCCATGGAACTCCTGGAGTAAGTGTGGAATATGAACTGATGTATTAGGCATCACAAATCACCCCTGATACAAGTGTCTCTCCCCTTCTAACGAATAGCCCAGGTGGTAACTCCCATCCTTCAATAAATTTGCCCTAATCCTCCCCAGTGCCTCATCCCATGCACTCTCCTCCTTAAGGGCCCCCTAATCGAAGTGGTATCGACACTGCTATCGTCTGTAACTTCCCCATGACAAGGCATCCACTGCCTTGTTCTATGTCCCTGGCCTATACTGGATTTCAAATTCATATTCTAATAACATTGATAGTCATCTCTAGTGCTCCTCTGTCACCATCCTCTGTTCCAACAAGTATTTCAGGCTCCGCTAGTCTGTCCAGACAATTAAATGTTGATGAAACAAGTAGGGCCGACACTTCTGTATGGCTAACACAATGACCATTAATTTTCTCTCGTAGACTGACTTCAACCTGGCTTTAGCTGTCAACACTTAGCTGAAGTAGGTAATGAGGTCGATGGTTCTGCATGAGTACTGCTCCCAATGCAGACCCTGAGGCATCTGTCTCAACTATGAAGACCTGAGTGAAATCGGGTAGGGCCAAGACCGACACGATGGTCATGGCCTTCTCTAATCTCTCAAAAGCTGTTGTGGCTACTATCCCCCATAAGAAACCATCATTCCTCAACTATTCTATCAGTGGCCATGCGATGATGTTATTACCCTTCACCAATCTCCTAAAGTAGCCAGTTAGCCCTAGGAATTCCCTCAACTCCCTGAGATTCTTGGGCAGTGGCCATCTTAAGATATCCTCAATTTTGGACTAATCCACAACTATACCCTCCTCAGAGACTATATGACCCAAGTACTCTACACTGGCATGGGCAAAGCAACATTTCTTCAGATTGGCTTTCAGCCGATGCTCCTGTAACACCTTTAAAACCTTCATCAAGTGCTCCTAGTGCTTTTCCTCTGACCTGCTATAAACCATAATATCATAAAAAAATACCAGCACAAATCGCCTGAGATAGAGTCGAAAAATTTTGTTCATGAGGGACTGGAAAGTGGTTGGGGCATTAGTAGGGCCAAAAGGCATCACTAGGAATTCATAATGCCCCTCGTGGGTTTTGAAAGTAGTCTTTGGTACATCCTTCCTTTTTTATTAAGATCTGATGGTACTATGACTTCAGATCGATCTTGGTAAAATCATTGCCCCACTTAGCTTATCCAATAACTCATCTATCCTTGGGATGAGAAACTTGTTTGGTACAGTTTCCTTATTCACTACCCCGTAGTCTACGTAGAACCTCCAACTCTCATCCTTTTTCTTAACTAGTAACACTGGGCTAGATAAATGACTCACATTGGGCCTAATAATCCCTACTTCTAGCATCTCTCTGATCAACTGAAATTGAGGATAGCGGTAGCGCCTAACACTGATAGGTGACACACCTTCCCTAAAGGTGATATCGTGTTCTTGCTCCCTTAGCAGTGGCAATCCCTGAGGTTGCTGAAAACCTCACTGAAATGTTGAATCAATAGATGCACTGAAAGAGGAAATGTCCCCACCCTCCTCCAATCTGATCCCATCCATCCTATGCAGCTCCACCATATAACCTTCCCCCAGCTCCTGTATGCTCCTCACCATGGTTTTAAGTGATATCATGGCTTTGGAGAGCCCATCATCTCCCCTTATCACTACCCTTCTCCCTTTCACCACCTGCTCTATTGTCAATGCTCCCCAGTTGATCTTGGTGTCTCCTAAGGTCTACAATCACTTTGTCCCAAGGATTACATCAATGCTTCCTAACTCCAATGGGAGAAAATCCTCTCTCACTTGAACTGCCTACATGATCAATACTACTCTCCTACATATCCCCTAGCCGTCTCCACCTTCACTGCATCCATCATCACTCCATAACACCCTGTATCTACCATGTCACCCCTAATTAGTCCACGACATGTTTGCAATATTTAAAATTGCGTAATCGGATATTGAGGCATTTTTCATTTGTGTGGCGAGGCGTAAGCCTCAAGGTGGTTTGAGGCATAAGCCTCAAAATAAAAAAATAGCGTAAACATAAAATGTTAAATTTTTTATATACTAATGAATAAATAATACAACAATAACAAGCCTTTGTCCCACTACGTGGGGACGGCTACATGAATTCTTTTTCGTCATTGTGTCTTGTTAAAAGTCAAACTCTCATTTAAATCTAATAAAAAAAAAATCATTTCTAATATTTTCTAAACAAGTCTTTTTAGGTCTACCACTACCTTTCGTAACATAAGTCAAACCTAATACATCAACTTTCCTAACCAGGTCATCGAAAGGCCTCCATTTAATGTGACCAAATCATCTGAGGCGACTCTCTCTAATCTTATCTTCCACAGGAGCTACTACAACCTTTTCACATATATGCTCATTTCATATCCTATCTTTAAGGGTAAAGCCACTCATCCACCTAAGCATCCTCATCTCTGCAACACTTAACTTGGTATTATTCTTCTCTTC